CCAGTGTCCAGTCTACAAAGAGGAAGGTCAACACAGAGAAAATACTTCTTCCATTCTTCCAAGTGAAGCCATTCACAGTCAAGCAAGTTAACTTATCTTCACACAGATGGAACTGGTAGAGGAAAGGAGCCAGGGGCTCCTCCTAAGCCCATGTGACCCCTGAGGAACAGATCCTCAAACGACTTTAAGAGTAAAAATAAATTTGTTTATCTGGGCCAACTGCATGGTCTTAACATCCAAAAGGAAAGTATAACCAAAGATTAAAGGGATCAATATAATTCTTTAAGAGTCCATGTGTATACCTAAAGGCTACATAACAAGAAACAATGCCAGACAGGAGATACCTTCCTTTGAGTTGTTGGTCAGGGTGGTCCAAGAGACTCCCAGACAGTAACTCAGCACAGGACTGGGAAAATGAACAGCAGACCCCAATCTTATCTAAAGGAATATTGGCAACATCTTACTGCTAGATGAGGAACAGCTGATCTTCCTAAAACAAGGAACACAGACAGGCTGACTAGACTCAGTGGATGGACAAGCACTGGAGAACGGCTAGGGCACTGACAACACAGTGAACAGTAACAGGGATGACAGAGTATATGGGCTCCAGCTGGGGGTTGGGAGGGAGCATGGGAGGGTTTCACATGGGAAGTGGGTATATAGATGAATAAGACTGGGATGTTCTATATGAAATATACGCACAAAAATCAATAAATAAAAAATGAGTTATATTTGGGGAAGAAGCATAAAATTTTACTTCATGTTAATTAGTAAAGGTGAAAAACATTACCACTGAAATCTACCTGATGACTTTATATCCATGCTCAGGTGCTGAGGAGCTCAGAAAGTAACCGACTGTGACTAGTAATAATCAGATATATAGAGATTAGAGATGCATGTGCAAACATCTAAGTGTTAGTAGCATTAAAAATGAGTTTTTTTGTATGAAGCAGTATATTTTAATAATGAAATGGAGATCTTTTTAAAGGTTAAAACCTCATTTAATTTTTTGTCATACAGGGTTTATACTGAGTACAATATTGTATAACTGTATTCAACTCTGAACATAAAAATTTACAGGCAATTTTGAAAGAGATGCGTCTTAGCTCTGGAAATTGTTATTGAATATGTCAATGCTGTTGTAATAAAATGCTTCTTCTAATCATGTGGTTATTAAATAAATAATTTTTTTAAAAATGAAAACTAAGCCACTGCACATACCATCTTCTATCTTTCTGGCTAGCCAAGGTTTCCAGCCCGGCAGAAATCCCTGGTGCTGTGAGGATCACTCTCATGTGACATGACAGAAACATGACTCTGGGGACCTTTTCAGGAAAGCCCGAAGCACACACTTCCTCCTCCCCCTGAGAGTCCTGGCCCTTGTGGGTTGCCTTTAATTTTCTGTGGTCCCTCCCCTCAAGGCTCTCACTGTCTACCCCCTGCCACCTGCCCCAAAGCCACAGCCCAGGTGAGGAAGGCAGACTTGAGAAGGAGGAAATGCATCAGAACCAGACTCAGGGCCTGAGACTTGGAGGTGGGGCCTGGGAGGTTTAAGAGAAAGGAGAATGTGGAGCAGGTTGGGAAATGGCTGTTCTAGGAAAATAAGAATCACAGGCAAGACTCTGGTGACCAACCTCTATTCCATGCAGCTCTTGTCTAAATAGTGGGCTGACAGAAGGTGAGAAGGGCTGCAGGTGAGCACAGGTGTGTAACTGGCATGGCCACGCGGGAGGGAAGGAGAGAGCAGGCACAGAGCCAGGGAGTCAGCAAGAAGCCCCAGCACTAGCAACCTTGACAAGAACAAGGAGAAAACAGAAAACCAAAGCTTTTGGGGTATTGTGAGGGCGCCAGGTGAAAACTTTCTGGCACCCTGGGAGAAGCGGCAAGCAGGGACTAGTACCCATGAGCCCAGGACAGAACGGAGGCTCCAGCACCAAGGGACCCAGTCTCTGGTGTGGGACACAGGTCCCAGAGTCACACCTTGAGTAGAGCCAGCCAGCCAGCCAGCCAGCCAGATAGACAGACAAGAGAGTTCTGAGTGCAGGGCAAGGGAGGGAGCTGCCTGTGGGGGAGGCAGTAGTCCACACTCCGCAGACAACTCTCAGCCCTCTAATGTGAATTCTTTCCAAATTTGGAATCGATGTGAGAATGAGACACAAACATGTGGTGTTTGAAAGAAACCAAGTTTCTCCTGCTGAGCCTCCCCCTGCCCCTCCCCAGTCCCTCCTCAGGCCCCTGCCCCCAGCAAAGTCTGCCCTCCCCAGAACGTAGGTTGTCCCTGCTGGGCCTACCCCTCTCTCTGCTCCTCCCCTCCCTTCCTGTGCTACTCCTCCAGTGACTCAATCTTTTCTTAAATTATCCCAGTAATAGCCTGGGTCTAAGCTAGTCAAATGCTCACTCGCTCAGACTCAACAACCACCAGTGAGGAGGACTGTGGCCACGAATTTAAAGGATCTCCATCCAAACAGGCAGCTTGCAACCACTCCTGTGTCTGGACCTGGCAGGAGCCAGTGTTTGGGGGGGACATTGCTGTAGGAGTGCATGATGGGGTTAAGGCTGGAGAGCCAACCAATAAAATGCAATGTTCACGTGGAAGTGGGGGCAGGGGGACTAGGAGTCAAGGTCAGGCTCAGCACAGTGAGTTTGAGACTAATCTGGGCTACAGGAGATCCTATCTCAAAAAAGAAAATCAAACAAGCAAAAAACAAAGATGCAATGTGAAAGATGTTAAATTCTGATTTAAGTTCTAGCACCATGGAGTAGTGGGACAGGCCTACAAACCCAGCACTCTGAAGGCTGAGGCAAGAGAATCATGAGTTTGAGACTAGCCTGAGATAAATGCCAAGATTCTGTCAAGAAAAAAGCAAAGGAAAAGCAAAGCAACCAGCTGCGGTGGTATCTGGGAGGCCTGGTTGGTTGGTCAGCAACTGCCGTGAGACTTTGGTTAGGGTGAAAATACAATGGGATTCAGCTGATACATAAGAAAAGGGAATTCGGGGAATTCTCTGTCTTTTCTTTTTTGAAACAGGGTCTTTCTATGCAGCTGGCCTTGAATTCACTATGGAGTCAAGGCTGGCCTTGAACTTCTAATTCTCCTGCCTCCACCCCTATGCACCACTATGCCTAGCTGGAACACTCTTATAAGAACACAGCATTCGGTTATCATTTTTGAAGTGTCTGGTGTGAGTGTCAGGAAGTAGTTTAGTATGTTCTAAACTGTCCAAGAGTGTGTTTAAAAGTGTGTGTTTCAGGGGGTTGGATAGATGGGTCAGTGGTTAAGAGCACTGGCTGTTCTTGCAGAGGACCTGGGTCCAATTCTCAGCACCCATATGGTGGCTCACAACCATCTATAACTCCAGTTCCAAGGAATCCAACACCCTCTTCTGACTTCTTCAGGCTTTGCACAACGGGTGCACTTACACACATGAAGGCAATACACTCGTACACATAAAATAAAAATAATAAATGAAATATTTAGAGCAGTGTGTTTCATATGTGCTTGTGTTAAGGGATAGGCTGGCGGAAAACTAGGAAGCTTCCTAGAAAGAGGTCAAGGAGAATGAGGTGGGGGAGAAGAGGAGAGAGGAGGAAGAAAGAGGAGGAGGAAGGGGAGGAGGAAGGAGAGAAGGATGAGGAGGGAGGAAGAAGACAAGACAGAGGAAGGAAAAGAAGAGGAGGAAGAGGAGGTGGCGAGCAGAGGCTGCTTGCCACTGTTGAGCACTGTCGTCTACCTGGTACCCTGCCTCCTCAGGTCTTGAGCGCCCTCATCACCAACGCCAAGGTTCCATGCTTGCCCCATGGAGGACTCCAGCCCAGGGGACTGGGAGAAGAAGGCACAATGTGCGTGGGGCCGGGCGGGGCGGGGGGGTGTCCAGAAACGGCCCCTAGGAAGGTGGCAGCCAGGCTCTGCTCTCTGCCACCTCTTCCACGTCTAAGGGCTTTGGTGGCTCACGGTAAGCAGGGGACAATTCTGAACTCAGGACCAGGCTTTCATGTTCAAGAAGTGAGCGAGGATCATTCTACTGCGAGCTAGTCCTCGGTCTGAGCCGTAGGAAGAACTCCCCGCCCCGGAGAGAAATAAAACACGGACGGATGCGGCAGGAAGCCAGCGCCTCGGGCACTTCCCCCACTCGGGCACCGAAGCCTCCAGGCCCGCAGGCTCAGCGGTCCCCAAGTCGGGACCACGCAGGGCCTCCCCGGTCTGCATTTCACCGCTGTTCTGGAATCTGAGCAAACCAGGGTCCCTGGAGTCCCAGGAAACCACACAGCGGAGCACTCGGCTTGCATTCTGCTGATTTATATAACAAGGCCCCTCCCACAAGGGGACATCTTCCTTCGGTAACCAAATTCCCCGCCACAAAGCGCAACTGCCGCGCTGGCTTCTCTCCAAAGAAAAGAGAACTCCTCTCTGTCTCCTCCTTTGCCCAGGAAGACTAATTCATCATGGTGCTGGAAAGTCCCTTTTAAGCCACAGCCAAAACTCCTTTTTTTTTTTGGCGCCCAGAGAAGCTGGGAAGAGCCAGTTCACTGTTTTTGTAAGTTTCAGAGGTGAAAGTCACTGTCGTTAAAACAAAAAATTGGCAAAAAGTCTAGAAATGACTCATACGAAGAAGTCTGATTACAAATTCATTCACACTCCGTAAATCATTTGCCGGGAGATGAGGGGGGCAGGAGAGGGGCAGGGCACTCCACAGAGAACAGGCACGGTGGACCCTGGGGTTCTAGGCCTGCCTCGTATTGGCCTGGTGATGTTCTGGATGAAGACGTACAGCGGTTGAGTGAAGAATGGATTTGGGCTAAGCCCAACCACATAGGGCCAAGACAGCAAGACCCTGCCTGTCCCTCCCGGTGTCCAAAGCTTCCAAGACCAGTGTTAAGGAAAGAGGGGGCGGGGTGGGAGGCACCGGGAGAGGGGCTGACTGGCAGGACGGTGACGTGGGAGTGCGCTCGCCTAGCCGGTCCCATCCGCCCATCCCACCCTCCCCTGCGGAGCCACTGACCTTAGCCAGACAGGCGGCGTTTCTGATGGCGCCCACCATCTCCCCGCCTTTGGGGTGCACCTTGGCGACGTGCAGCCACATCCGCTCCCAGGTGTGGCTGTCGATGGGGAAGCCGCTCTTGTTCACGTGGAACAGCACCCCGCCGTCTTTGTCCTCCTCCTCCGAGCCCCCGCTGGTGGCGAGGCTCACTGGCCGCGCGTGGCTGCTCCGGGACCGGGTGGTCTTGGCGCCCTTTGGGTGGGGGCAGCGGTGGGTGTCGGCCGCGGAGCCGGTCATGGTGGGGGGCGTGTTCGCGCGGCCTGGTTCAGAGCCCCGCGGGGGTGGCCTTCTCCATCTCTCCGGGCGGCAGGACGCGGGAAGGGGAAGCGGCGGCGAGGGGCTCCGCGGGGACCGCGGGGCTCCCGGCTCACCGGCCGGGCCTGCAAGCAGTGGGGACAGCAGACACCAGGGCTCAGTGCACACCCGCGGGATCCCAGCGCCACCCGGGGCTAGCCCAGACCCCTCCCCGCCCCCAAGGACGAGATTTCCTAGGAAGGCGACTGGAAAGGCGCCACGAAGGCTCACACCCAGCTGCACCCGGGGATGGGGAGGCATGCACCAAGCGCCGGGTGCGGCGAGGGCGGGGTGCGCAGAGCAGGGCGGACGTGCAGCCTGGAGACGCACGGGTCCCCTCCAGGCTCCGGGCATCCCAGGGTCCCCAGATGAGGCGGATTGCCCGGTCTAGCCGGGAGCGTGCGGGCACGTGAGCGCCCCGGGCTGGCTAGTGAGGCTCGGGACCCGGCGCGCGCACTGGCGGCTCCAGCCGCGGTTCCCGGGAAGCGCCCCAAGCGGGCTGCGGGCGCGCAGGAACTCTACGCGCGGGGACGCACCTGGCGCCGGCCAGCCTCATGGCTGCAGAGCGTCTCGGGGCGGCGGAGGATGCTCGCGCTGCGACGGCCGTCGCCTCATTCCATGTCCCATTCTCGAATGTTATGCTGTGACATATAACCGAGTCACCCGGGCAGCCGCCGATGTTCCGGATGCGTCCATTGGACCCCGCAACAAAGAGGGGCGGGGCCCGGGCCCGGGACTCTACAACCCGGGCTTCGCGGCACTCTGATTGGCTCCAGGGTTCCCGGGCGGGAGGGGACCCGAGGAAGGGAAGCTGGGCTGCCACGCGAAATCTGATCGCGGTTGGGTCCCGGGAGCCCCGAGGGGCTGGAGCGTCTGTCCAAGGGTTCATATACGGTTTCCCCCCGGGGTCGTGGCTCGGTGGGGGACCCGGAGGCTGTGGAGCCTCGGGAGATGGGACTAGAGGTAGAGGGAGCAGCGTTCCCGGAGGAGGCGGACACAGTGCGCCGCCCTGCACAGGGCGATGGGTGGCTCGGTGCGTGCCTAGATGAGTACTTTTTGAAATCCTGCAAGTTTTTCGCCAGGTTAACAAGTGGGCACCGCCTTGGATCCTTGTTACTAGTCGGGTAACGAGGTCCCTAAGGCCGGCCAGGACCCAACTGCTCTACCACATTGTTCAGAAGGGGGGGTCAAAAGATTTTCAGCGCCTTGAAGTGGCCTTCCCATCGCTGCATGGAAACACAACCTTTTTCTTTTCTTGAGACAAGGTCTCAAGTAGTCCAGGCTGGCCTCAAACTTGCTTTGTAGCCAGGATGACCTTGAACTCCTGATCTGACTGCCTACACCTCTCAAGTGTTGGGGTTAGAGACATGCACCACCATGTCCCATTTATGCAGTGCAGAGAGGTAGAACCCAGGACTTTGTGCATGCTAGACCAGTCCTCTATCAACTGAGCCACATCCTCGGTCCTGAAACATCTTTTTTCTTTTTTTAATTTTTAAAATTACATTTACTGTGAGTCTAGAGAGATGGCACCATGGGTAAGAGCACATACTGCTCTTGAAGAGGACTGCAATTCAGTTCCCAGCACCCACTTTCAGCAACTCACAACCACCTGTAACTCCAACTCCCTCTTCTGGTCTCCAGGGAATGTACTTACATGTACGTACACACACATACCACACACACACACACACACACACACACACACACACTTTAAAACTAATTAAAATCAGAGCTGGAGAGATGGTTCAGTGGTTAAGAGCACTGATTGTTCTTGCAGAGAACGCAGGTCCGATACCCAGCACCCACATGGTGGCTAACCACCATCTATAACTCCAGTTCCAGGGGATTTGATGCCCTCTTCTGACCTCCATGGGCATTGCACGACATGGATGTACTTACATACATACAGGCAATACACTCATACACATAAAATGAAAATACTAAAAAGAAATAAAATTTTTTTTAAAAAATTACATGTTTTGTGTGTGTGCATGTATGTAGTAGGTATGCCCATGCCCCAGTGTGTGCAGAGGACAACTTACAGGAGTTGGTTTTCTCACTCCACCATGTGGGTTCCAGAGACTAAGCTTAGGTCACCAGGCTTGGTAGCAAGTGCCTTTTTGGCAGAGCCATCTTGTAGGCCAAAAATACCTCTATCTTAAAGGTAGCGTTTTCTTTCCTTCTTCTTTCTCTTCTTCTCTTCCTCCCTTCCCTCCCAACTTAAAAAATTGTTTTTAGATTTATTATTTATTTACTTATATTTATTTTTGGTCTCTTTGAGACAGGGTCTCCCTGTAGTCCCAGCTAGCATGGAACTCATTATGTAGACCAGGCTGGCCTCGAACTCACCGAGATCCGCCTGCTTCTGCCTCCTGAGTGCTGGGATCAGAGGTGTGCACCACCACACCTGGCACTAGATTTATGTATTTGTATTTTATGTGTATGAGTGTTTTGTCTGCATATATGTAAGTGTACCACGTGCATGCAGTACCCCACAACTGGAGTTACAGACCATTGTTAGCCACCATGTGGGTGGTGGCTAGGAAATGAACCCAGGTCCTCTAGAAGAGCAGCCAGTGCTCTTAACCACGGAGCCGCCTCTCCAGTGCCCTCCCTGCTTTCTTCCCTTCCTTCTTCCCTCTTTCGTTTTTGAGACTGAAAAGAACAAGAAGTGGGAACAGCTGCAGACACTATGTTCAGGAACTCTAGATGTGCCCCTGCTGAGCGGTGAGACCCGGACACAGCTTGTCCTCTCTGGGCCTTAGGTTCTCTCTCTGTGAAGAGGGACAGTAGACCGCTCCCTCTGCCCATTCTGGCTCTCAGGTTGTGTGACCTGCTCTCGGGTGGACGGCTGGGAACCTGGCTGTGAAAGCCTTGCTCCGCTCACCAGGCCAACTTTGAGCAGGTGGAGCAGCTGTGTCGCTGTGAGGTGAGGCTCCCAGGAGGAACACCATGGTGCAGGGCCCTCAGGGTTCCTTTCTGGCTGCTCGGCCCCACAGTGACCTGAGCTGGAGACATCTGTTCCTAGGGCGTCTCATTGTCTGTTAGTCATGAGAAAAATGTCTGAAGTTGCCCAGCAAAAGGGATAAACACTTGAAACGAGTCATGGGTGTATAAAGGGGAACACGCACACACACACACACACACACACACGCGCGCACACACACACACACACACACACACACACACACACACAAATCCTAAGAAAAGCCAGGAGAAGGAAGGACTGGAAGAGTTTTCCACCGGCATCATGGAGGAGAACGCACTTGGTTAAGGGTGGGACTGCGTGTGTGGTTCTGCACTGAATCCATATGCTGAAGTTCTAACCTCCAGTACCTCAGAATGTGACTTTATTTGGAAATATCACCACTGCAGATATAATTAGTTATGATGAGCTCATACCAGAGAGGTTGGGCTCCTAATCTAACATGAATGATGTCCTCATGAAAAGAGACAATTTAGATGTGGAGTCAGCTGTGTGTATGCGAAGACTATGAAACGAAGATTGGGTCTACATCACCAGAGCAGAGGAAACCCCAGGAACCAGGAGGAAGGTGTAGAGCAGGCCTTGTGCGGTGCTTGGATCACAGACCCTTTCCTGCCTCTATAGGGTGGTTATCGACCTTTGTTTATACCACACTGTCCACAGCACTTTCCTATAGCAGCTCTGACAAGCTACAGCTCAGCCCAAGACTCAGTCTGTGATCAGCCTGGTGACAGAAGTAACCACTGTGCTGAACCAAGGATTAAAGGACTTTTCTAAGAAATATCAACACTAATATCCTATAAATCATGAGAGCTAATAATCCTGGCTTTGTTCCAAGACAGGAGAAAACATCAGCCAAGAGGCCTGTGTGTAGGGAAGGCTACTTGAGATAGGCTTTTCAGGTCTCACTTCCTCGGGGGAGGCTCTCTCTAAGGCCTGAAGGTGTGTCCTTGGGGATGTGTCCTGCCCTGGTCTCTTCCTCTCTTTCTTTTCTTTTTTAATTATTTTATTTATTTACTTATTTATTTTTATAAAATAAAATTTTTGTGTGTATGAGTGTATTGCCTGCATATATGTAAGTACACCAGTATCATGCAATGCCCACAAAGGTCAGAAGATGGTGTTGGATCCCCTGGAACTGGAGTTACCAACAGTTGTTAGCCACCATGTGGGTGCTGCATTTGAACCTGGATCCTCTTCAAGAGCAGTCAGTGCTCTTTAACTGATGAGCCATCTCTCCAGCCCCCTCTTCTCTCTGTCCCTGCTTCGCGGCCACAGTGAGGTAAGCAGCCCCACTCTGCCATGCCCTTCTGCCATGAAGTACTGCTCCACTACAAGCCCAGAGGCAACAGGGCCAGTGACCGTGGGTTGAAACTTCTGAACTATACGCCAAACTGTATCTCAGGGATTTGTGAAGATGATAGAAAACTAACTCTATTAAGTTACTATTCTGTTGCTGTGATTAAAATATGACCAACAGCAGCTTAAAGAAAAAAGTTTATTTGGACTTACAGCTCCAGAGGGGTCAGAGTGCATCATGGTAGGGAGGCATGGCACCAAGCAGCAAACAAGGTGGCACGAGCCAGAGGTCACATCTCCAACCTCAACAGGAAGCAGAGAGGACAAACTGGAAGTAGGATAAGGATATGAACTTTCAAAATTCATCCCCAGGGATGAACTTCCTCCAGCAAGATTGCACCGCCTAAAGATCCCTTGAGCTCTCGAAACAGAACCACCACCTGGGGACCAAGTGTTCAAATCCTTGAGCCTATGGGGTCTTGCTCATTCGAACCACCGCACCAACTAACAGTCTGAAACACATGAATTACTCATTCTCACACTGGTTTACATTATTCCCTAATTTTGGTACAGGTCTTGCCATACAAATAATGAAAGTAGCATCTATCCGGTGCTGAATTTATGCCGAAGCACAGTTTAAGCACTTCACATGTGTTATGTCCTTCATACTCACAAGAAACTTGTAAGTTTTAATAGAAGGGAAACTTAAGTCATTTTTCTAAGACCTAGATGGCAAAGCTGTGGCTTGGATCTTGAGGCTCTCCCAAAGTCCTCTAGGTTCAACGCTTGGCCCCTGGTTTGGTGCTGTTGGGACATGGCAGAAACCCTAAGGTGGGCCTCGTGGGAGCTTCAGGTCACTGGAGGCAGGTCCTTGAAGGGGACTGGGTCCTTCTCTATCTTGTTCCTCCGCAGGAGGTAATCAGACTCATTTTTGCTCATCCACTCCCTCAGACACCTAAAAGTAATATCTGCACAGTCACAATGGATACTTCCAAAACTGAGCCAAAATAAACCTTCTGTCTTTATAAGCCGATTATCTCAGGTGTCATTATATTGACGGAAAGCTGATTAACACAGGGAATCACAAAAATAATGGATCCATTTGCGCCTCAATTGTTAGCAGAAAAAAAGCGTAGTAATAAAAAACTTTCCTCCAAGAAGTTATAACTATGTATCTCTTCCTACACTGAGCTTCTAATACCCAGAGAGTTCAGGAGAATAAACATTTAATTTATTGTTAGTGTTGCTGTGTGTATGTGCACATTCGTGCCATGGTGTGTATGTGGAGGTCAGAGGACAGCTTTTGGGAGTCAGTTCTCCCCTTCCGTCATGTGTGTCCCAGGGAACAAACTCAGGCCAGCAGGTTTGGTGGAGAATGTCCTCACCCACTGAGCCATTTTGCTGGCCTTCTG